TCTGGAGGTGAGGCATTAAAGACACTCCTAAGCTCTTGCTTCTTCTGAACTGTACTGACAGTCTGTCTCTACTTCTCATTTGCTTTTAACAGTGGTGGGGTCAGAATTTTACTAGGGTGTGTCTTGTTAAATGCACTGCAAGGATAATGTAGATAAGCCTCCTCAAGTGCTATATCTCAGCGATCTGTTTAGTCACTAAAGGATCCCATATTCTATATAAGACTCTGCTTAGATCAAGTATGTAGTGAACAGCTTCCAGAGCAGTCTAGAGATTGTAAACCAGCATTAGCAGAACTGACTTGGGGATGAATTTGGAATGGGGGTGAGACTGAATTTATTGACATAAGTCTGTATGTTTGGCAACATAGGCTTCCTTTCCTATGTATAATAGGAACAACTGTTTATACTTAGAAAATATCAACACTCACTGAGAACACATTTTAACTGCTGTTATTTAGCTAGTGTTAAGAAATTCCTGAGAACACTTTAAAATGTAAAAATAACAGGCTTACACATGCTAATCTGTGGAAGGGAAGGCTGGGATACAGAGAAAGCCAAATTCTGGGCAGCTGTGGAGAGGAGTAGCTTTGCTGGAATGCTGTTAGCTCTGGCAAGAGAGAGGATGAGCTGTGAGCAGGACTGGGACCAGGTATTCTCTAGAAACTACTCTTCATTCTTTCTCAGTCTGTGCATAAGCAAAGAAAACCTAGATTTATCATTTAAAGATAATTTCTTGCTTTAGGCTCTCTGCTTCTCTAAATGTGTCTTTAGGCCCAGTCTTGATTTATATAAACTTAATATTACTATGCAATACTTATTTAAAGAATTCTCAGTATGTTTCAGTCTTCACCTTTTTAAATGAAATCTAATTCATATAGAAAGTCTAACTACTTGCTACTTAGATTTCCAAATTAGGCCTTTAAGTGCTGTGATTTTCAGTATATATTATGCAGTGCAATGTACATTGGCAACAATTCATACCAAGAAAAGAAAATAATATATTAATAAATTCATATTAAAAAAAGCTGAAAAGGAAGTCTTAACAAAAGCTGATTACTAACCATGTGACATGCATTTTATTACATGTCTAAATGCTATACATAGGAAAAAGATTCAAATGTTTGTTATCATATTTCTAGGTAAGGAAATCTTTTGTATTTACTATGTTTTACATAGTAGTAAAAATTCAAAATATAAACAAAAATTCAAGAATATATAGAACACATTTTGCTATTACAAATCAGAAATGGTACTGTCAGAGTTTAGACAGCATGCAACATTAGCAAATAAATTTATTGCATTTATTTTATTATTCATCAATTTATCAATTTATTCCTAATTGGAACTGATAAATAGAAGTTACATTTGTAGGGAAAAATGCAGGACCTCAACTGTCAGTGAGTAGCATGCAAAGTGAGACTTCTCCTTGGCAGATCTTAGTAGCAGTTCAGTGATAACCTGGCTTGTTTTATTATGCAGGTGATTAATGCTGCAGAAGGCAATCAAGTGAGCCTATTTAAATCTTCTCCAGTAATAAAAATATGTTTCTATTTAATTGTGTTACCCACACTGCAGTAATTATTCTGTGTTCTTGATGTGAAGACAGAGAAACGGTAGTTGTGAAAATATTTTTTCTAACATGTATGAAATAGCTTACATGGAAGTCATATGAAGGACACCTGAGGCACTGTGTCCAGAAGAAACATCTTCTCCCTGATGTGGCAGAGTAGCACCAAGTCTCTTTCACCAGCTAAACCTCCGTGATACCTACTGAGTTAGTGGATAGAACATCTCTATACATAGGTCCACAGGACTGAATGAAAAGGGCTGAGTGCTGCTGGCAGTAAATTATCTCACTGCGGAAAGTCTTGTGCACTGCAGGCAGATTGGTGTTTGCTTGGAAGGGGAAGGCCTGCTTATGGCATTTTCAGTTTTTGTATTTTTGATGTTTGAGAAGAACATAGTGCTCTAGCTATGGTCCAGCTGATCATATTCCCACGGGTAAGGGGAAGAAGAAAATCATAAATCATTTTCAGTCTCTACGTTTCAAAAGACTTACTCTTTTTCTGATGCCATGATTACATATTGCAGATATTGTGAGCAGATTAGCTTTTGGCTATTAGCATACACATGTACACAGATCTGTCTGTCTTGAGCCCAGCAGTGCATCCCTTGCAGCTCAGCAGCCTCTTAGCATGAGCAGGCCTTGGAGAATGAGAGCCTCAGGCTTTAACGTAGTTGAAAATGGGACAGGTTGTGTGGATGGTCTTTCTCCAGGAAAAAACAAACAAACAAACAACAACACAACTTAACTGAACAAAACGTTTTTTGCTTTTTTTTTTCTTTTCAAATAACTCCTCAGCTCCCTGGATTATAAGTTTTTCCAGAAGGTTAATAACAAAGGCTATGCCTTCTTGGAAAACTGAAGTTTACGCTGCTATCCACTGTCAAATGCAGCCATTGAAATAATGAATGAGGTTCACTTCCTCAGAATGTGTAAATGTCCTGACTCAGAGTTAAGCTGTCAACAGCTGAAAGACAGTCCCATTGACATGTACCTGGCAATAGTTACTCAGGTTTATTTTTTCCTGGAAAGCTGTTTTGGGCGACAGAGTGGCGTCCGGGTTTCCCAAGTTGTTGTGCTGACAAACTGCAGCGGTGGTAAAGGCAGGGAGTCTGACAAAATCTCATTAATCATTTTAAATTAAATCCAACATTCCTCTCCTACACTGCCAAGAAGAAAGCTAACTTTTACAAATGAATACCCTCTATGAAAAGAACCAATATCCTGACCGTATTGCTTTCAGATAAATATTCCCAATTTCTGTCATGTGCACAATAGGTATTATTTTTAAACTTTAAAATAATGAGCTTGTTGGATGGCTAGAAAACAGAGAAGTGCTTTTTGCATGTTTTCTGTAATAGATGTTATGTGTGAACATCTCTGATAATTAGACTGGCTTCATTTTTTCAATGAATTGCAGCTTTTTGCTTTTCAATAACAAATACAGAAAAAAGAATGTTGCTTCTTGATGGAATAAAATTGCACAGAGGGAGTGGAAGTGTTCTGTTAAATATTTTATAATCTAAGCAACCTTTGAGAAGAAATAGATGAATAAGAAAGAAAAATTGCAGATTCATGAAGACCTCTACCAACAAAAGCACTGAAGTGATGAAGGAGCAATATGGTCCCTGCAGCCTTTTACATATACATTCATTTGTATAACTAATGCTAGCTATCTGGTTGTGGTGTAACTATAAACGCTATATGTTGTCTTAACATCTGATAAATAATATGAAAAGATCACATAAAATTTGATCTTACTAAAATCACTATTATATGTAGGTTATAACAGATTGTATATTATTTCTCTTTAAGACAAAACAAAACCATAATGTGCCTATGGGAGACACAGGAAAACCCCTAGTCTGTCCTTTGTCCATTTTAATAGCTTTAGAGATTAGTGATAGATTTTACAATGGCAGAGGACGAATCATCTACCCTAATGTTTATTACTCTCAGCATTTACATGAAAAATGTGAAAAGAAAGAAAAACCCTTATCTTAAATTCTCATTTGTGATACAATACGAGGCAAGTAAATTTGACTTTTCTAAACAATTAACATCATTATTTTAACATGAGAAAGTTACTGCACTTCAATCTTTGCTTAAGTACTAAAAATAATTTAATACTTATTTTGAAAAAATAGAATTAGAAAAATATCAGATTTCACAGCCTTACACAGAGAACAAAAGTACTGCCACTTCAAAAAAGAACTATTCCTTCTCTTAAGGCTTATGCAATAGATGTTACTAAATTCTGGTATACTGCAGAGGAAATAGTCACATCTATTTGCCCATCTATTTGAAGTTTATTTTTCTAAATCTTTATTTTGAAGCTGTTTTAAATATATTATTTTCCAGTGTAGATTCCTAACACTAGAGGGAATAGGAAGGAGAGGTTGAAGAGAACAAATTTAATTTATTTTTCCCTAGTGAGAATTTCTTGCCCACTTCAAAACTGGCAAAATTGTCTCTAGCCTACAACAATTTGGGCTCTCATTTGCTGAACAAGCTTTGTTTTATTTTGAGTAGTCAAACCAGTATAAATCAGTTTGGAGGGTGAGTGGAAACTATTTGAGTTTTAGAAACATGAGAAAACATAGAATGTCAGAAACTGATTATAACTAAGCCACATGAATATGTAATATACATCCTATTCTTTAAACAAATGAATCTCAGAATTCAGCCAAAAATGAGCTGTATAGTGTGACATTTGACATGGACTATGGTATATTACTTTCCTCTACATGAACAAAGAACAGTTGTCCTTTTGTCACTATACTGAACTATACTAAACTATACTAAAGTCAGCAAAACTTTAGAAATGGCCATTCAGAATACAAGTTTGGTATTCTAAGAGCAGAATAACTAGAATTTGTAGGAGGATGGGCTGCAGCCTCTTCCTTCAGAATGAAGTTATCCCATAGTTTCCTGAGGAACGCAGAGTACTGGTACAAGCTGGTAAGATGCATGGCCAAAACTCAAAGGACATGCAATAGTGGAATCATACAGTACCTTGGGAGCATGATCATGCTCATGTAACTAGATCTGGGATCCTCTACCTAAATCTTCCAAAATGCTTGATCAAGTAACTATCGTCACAGCACGCCAATGAACAGATTTAGTAACACCTGGATCAATGAAGTATCTATCACTATTTTCTTTTAAAACATACATGGAGAAAGTAGCAGTGCACTGAAAAAGAAATTGCCCAAAACTTCCATTATAGAGTACTTATGGAGCATGAGTAAGATAACTTTATGTTTGCCATTGGTGATATGCTTAATTTTTACATGCACCCTCCCATCCCTTTTAAAACAAAGCAGAAAACTGTCTAACTTTATGAAAAGTTGTGATCCTTAAAAATGAAAAAATTGCTTATCTACCACTGTACAGAATGACTCAAACCTCAAAAGAAAAAAGAACAGATGAAATGTTTATTGTCAGTTTTGGTTTATTGGATATTTCTAAAAGAATTCACACATGGCACGTTGAGTTAGATGCTTTCTATCCACTCTGAGCTGCTAATATAATGTATAACATGAGATAGGTGCTAATCAATTAACACTATTCAAAATTTCTTGTGAAGATCAGAAGCTGTTATTTATAGGAGTAATTTTTTTTTTCCTTCTGGATTTACAGAAACTTTAAGCATATTCTCCTGTTTCTAATTTATCTTCTTGGCTATTACATGGGCCTTGAAGCTTTCTAAACCTTGTTAATAGATGTATTCAACTACTCCAGAAAGAACACATTCTGCCTGCCTGGAGGCTTTGTTTTGTTTTAGGATAGGAACTGAGAGTCACTAGAAATTAAGAGAAATGTAGATTAATGAATTGTACTCTCATATCAGTGTAAAATCAAAACCACTATCTCTGATGTCAACGGAGGGGCCAGGAAAAAGAGAATTAGACTCTGAGCTGCATTTGTGGTCCCAGAAGAAAACTTTTCCTGATAAGATTGTAACTTGTTGAAACTTCAGAATTCATGGAATTCCTATTTGTATGTATGTAACATCTGAAGAGTGTATTTTAGGAAGTGGTATTCTGCAGCCTTCATGCACAAGTAGGAGCACATGCTTACCCTTCTTGTTTTTTTTTTTTTTAACAACTTTTTTTTGTTTTTAAACAGGACTAGAGAGCTTTGCCTAAGGCAATGTTTAATATTATGCCTTTAACATTTTGTGTTTGACATTAATTGATGACTAATGATTAAGGAATGTATCCTTGAGCCTTCTGAAATATATGAAAGGACCCAGAATGAAGTGATGAGAGCTTACCCTGAGAGAGGGAAGCAATACTGTAAAACTTCACAGGAAGATTGCTGCAATACTGCTGGCTCCCGACTTTGGTTGTGTACGCCACACAAATTATGTTTAAATTTGATTAGAGGTAATTTACTTAAAAAATACAATTCTTTCTGGGTGCATTTTTGCATGTGGATGAGAGTGATGAGTATAACTGTTTTTACTAAATACTTGAGGTACCAGCTGTAGCTCTGTTTTTCCCCCCATTATTTATGTAGCCCTTATGTAGACTGAAATTAGTATACTGTCAGTCATCATTCTTCTCACATCTAAAACAAATGTAATATCCACTCAGTGCCAAAAAGAAAGCAGCAGTGTAGGCAAAGTATATGTCTATGAGTATGAGCTGCATTCAGTTTCTGGCTCTGCCATAAGCTTCTTGCACTAAAAACAAACAACAACCACCTCTACAGAGGCTTGTAAAACACAACTAAGAACATCTTCCTACCTCATCACATGGTGTGGTATGTAAAAATGATATATCTATTAGTTATTATGATAAAAACAGATGCTAGAGATAGCTGAGTATTATATAAGCAAATATAATCAGGAAGAGATTAAGGAATGGCTCTTATTTCAACTACATATAATGTCAGTTTATGAGAAGTACTGCAGTATGAACTAAAACAAGGCAAATGCTTAATAACTTCCTGCACTTGCACTGCAAATGCACGGCTAATATTCTGCATGTTTCAGAGAATATAAGACACAACCTGATTGAAACCGTTTTTCAAGTATTTTCAAAAGTTTAGAACTATTTAAAATCTAGCTACAGAAGATATTTAGGAAGAGTCTGAGTTGGCCAAAACAGTCTGAAACAGCTCCAGTCTTGCACAGTCACCATTCTAAGCTCACTCGGTCACAGCTCTTAGCAGCTTTAACAATGACTCATCTGCTATAAATTTACCTGGCCGTTTCCATCACTGACACTTCCACACTGAGGGAGATGGTTGAAAGCAGCAATGTTAGCTTCCCTACACTGCTTTTCCTGTTTAAGTTTTCTTTGCTTACAGGGCTGAATAGCTGGTTGTAGGTGTTCTATACCACCATTAACTGCTGCCAGCAAAATAAGTTTTCTATCTCTGTGCAACATGCACATTTTCCCTAGGCTATGCCTATGTGACCAATATGGTTATTCAAGTTAGTCATACAGTATTAAATATTAACTTAGATACTTTACAAGTGTTCTGCCATCTCTCAGAAAAAAACAAACAAACAAAAAACAAACAAAAAAAACCCCCAGACTTTATCACAGTATTGAGATCTACCTTTCTCTAACTTATGTATCTGAGGTAATTAGCACTATAAAAAAAAAAAGTTTAATGCAAAAGAAGGAAGTACGCTTTTAAGAGAGAGGAGCAATTTTAGTTAAAATATTTTACAATAAAATAATTATGATTATAAATCTCTTTAGTTAAATATATACACATTACACAGTATCTTAAAAAGAATGAAATTATTAAAGTTTCAAGCAGATCTAATGCACAAATCCACCACTTTGTCAGCTTAGACTGTAATGTCAGTTTTAACATTTGTAATTAGTTGTGTCAGACTAATGGCACTATTCTGTGCAAAATTAAAAAAAATTATGAAAAACAAATCTCCAAATCCTTCCATTCCCACAGTAAATAGATAGAAAAGGTAGTTTACACATACATACACTTACACACAAACTTTGATTGCATACAGAGGTTAGAATGACCAGCACTAAAATAACCCCCATCTCTACAAAATAATCTATTTCTTGAAACTATGTAGTTTTTGAAAATTACAAACTGTGCTAGTAAATTGTGCGTTTAGGCAGCCACGTGGCCAATAAGGTAGATGTTGTCATAAAGGTGCCCTACAAAATCTTCACTAATATTCTGCGCAGCTCGTCGTGTATTCCGGATGAATTCTCTCTTTGACATTTTGTTCTTCACGTGAGGGCTGGTTAGATCAATGGAAAGAAGAATCAAAGAGTAACACAGTACATAAACTGCATCTAGACAAAAGAGAACAAAAGAAAATAAAGGGAATTATGATCATTAAAAATATTGTTGCCTGACCAAAACTCTTATGCAGTCTTCAGCATTTGGGCCTAACATTGCATATATAAAAATACATTAGAATTCAAAGGAATATCCCACTGTCATAAAATTTAATATAACCATTTTCAAAGTAATAGAATCAGCACATTGCTAAATAAACTTTTACAAATCTCTCAATATTCCTACAGCATCCAAAAGCCACTGATATCATTATACACATTCATTTAAATGGAATCCTAAAGTCTTTGTAATCTAAAGCCAACATCCTCCTAAGTTTATCTTTAATATGTAAGCAGTCTCATTGCTAAAAATTGGCTCCCTACTACCCGTTAGAAATGCTTTTTAATTTCAGTGAGGTCCAAAATTCCCTCTGCTTTGTGTGGGACTATCCATAGGGCAAAATGTTAAACGTGCAGGTCTTTGCAGAAGGGATTTTAGAGATACTACAGAGTTTAAGCACAGAAAAAAAGTGAAGGAAAACTAACATGAAAATACCTCCACCCTTATCAACTAGGTCAAAGAAAATAAACTTTATGTTATTTATTTACCCATTTTCAACCCAAATGAGATGACGACTGACTACTCAGCAAAGATTGAAGGATGCTATTAAGCCATGTTTGTACTTTGAGAAATATTTGTTTAGATGCTGATTGTAAATCTACTGTGAACTGTAACATCATCCAAACATACATAGAAATACAGAGAGTGATTCATTGAACAAAAGCTCTTTTTGCTTACCAGGGCTAAGGCCAAGCTCTCTCATCAAATCAGGGTTACAAGCACAGAATCTGTGAGAGAACTTCGTAATGAGAGTCTCAAGATATTCCCCGCGCTCCTCGGGGGCATGAATATGTCTGAAGAACTCTCTCAGTGCATTTGGCAAGAACTGATTTCTAAAGTTGTGCAGCGTCACAAGGTCATCCAAAACATCTCGCCTAGTAGAAGAAAATCTCAGGTAATTAGAAAAGCAACTTTTTTTTTAAAGCCTGTTTGATCATGAAAATGTAGGTTTAAAAATCAAAATAGAAGGTTTAGAATTGTTTTGGAGCTTCAGAGTGTTTTATTCTATTGTTTCATTTCTGTAGAATAACACAAAGAACAAATACACATTCATCAGACACTTGCAATAACAGCCATAGAAATTTCTTTAGAATAGAATAGAATAGAAATTTGTTAAATTTGTTTGCATGTGTATTCACTTACAGTACACATAAAGGCTAACAGAATTTAATTATCTGATGAAATCATTAAAAATGCAGTAAAGGGAATATATTTGTGCATATTGTACATATTCTGGTGCCTAAGTAAAAACTATTATAGCAGCATCTTGTTAAAAAAAGGTTTCAGTTAGATAAAATTTGCTCACAAAACCTCTTGAAAGGTTAAGTCCATCAGGGTACAATTCTACCAAGTGTTTTCCACTGAACACAGGAACAACGAAGTGATTCAAACTAGCCTGTATAAACAGATGTGCAGAAGACATCTGAAGTAAATTTGGAAACAGAATATTTTGGTATGTTGATCCTTCCTATTATATATTTCAATACCATATGGAGTGTTTTAATGTCTAGAAATCTAATTTTTACTTCTTCTGCCTGATTTCATTTTATGAAGGGAAGAATGATAGCAATAGGGGTTGCTAAATGTAATCATTAATTTGCAGTGTCATCTGGTAAATGGCTTCCTGTTTTTTCTATTGCTCTAGAACATGATGATCTGAAGTTTTACAGCATAGATCTGTCTCTGATGGTGACACCAAAAAATGACTGCTTTTACTTGTTTAGCAGTGAAGACTGAGGGGAACGAGATGCATGATAGGATTCCTGCTAAAAGTGCTGCTGTTCACCTGCTCTTCCTATTTAAGTATAGGTATTACTTTCCTCCTCTATAAAATTTGTTTGAATTCGTACTTTGTACTCCTCTTTCCTGATAACACTGCACCACCCAAAGCTGAAGATATCCTGATAGGCAAAAGAAAACACTCTGGGGATAGGAGAGTATGGTACAGCAGGGGCAATGTACCCTGCTGCTTTCAGCCAGAGGGTGCTCTGCTACCTCTTAGGGAGTGAGCATATCTCCTATTTGAGAAACACTGGAAAATCAAATAGTGGTTAGAGAATTGATCATGAGTTAAAAAGCTGCAATCACTTGGTAGAACAACTGCTTTTTCCTATAACATTCATACTACATATGAAAAAAAGGAAGACCACATTAAAAAAAAAAAAAAAGCAATAAAATATATATGAAATCTGAACGTCATACAGTAGAGACTATCCTGTGCAGCTTAAACGCACACTATACTTTCTAAACAATTTATAAGAAGAATTACAAAAATAGTGAAATAGTAAACTGTGTGAGAGTCATTGGTTATATGTAGTATTTTCAGAGGTTCCTGTATGATAAAAATTCTGGAACTAAGGAACTGTTCAGATTTAGCACCAGCATTACTTAGTTGCATTTCCATGTACTTTTACGTCAATAATATTACAAGCAAAATAACTATTGTCAGGGTTGCTGTGCATTGAAAACAAATAGTGGCTTTCTCCTCACAAGAAATTAAAGTTACCTTTCATCGAGATAGATTCTCAGCTTCTTCCAATTTAGTGTTCTTGTGCAAAAGATAAACTTAGCTATTTCCTTTGGCGAATCATCTAGTATGCCCTTGGACATAAAGTAGTTGACTCCCTGAGATAAAAAGATATATATGCATAAATATGTTTCATCTTCATACTATGGAACAAGCACTGTACTTAGCAACACAAGAAAATTATCCCACTAATTACTCACATTTTATTCTAGCAGAATAATTTCACTTTCTCTCAATCACATTTCAACATGCACAATACAATCTAAAATTACAAATCAAATGCAAAGGAACCTAGTTCGTTGTTATGGTTGAGATTTTACATATACTTTGAGTAGGACACTTAAAATTATGAATCTCATACAAGCACGGTAGTTCAACAGTATTTCAATTACAGTGTTTTAATATTGTATAATTTTTTTAAGCATACATTTTAACCATAGATTTTAATTTCAGAACTTTAAAAGATAAGAAAATCTTAGCCATAATACGTTTTGTCTTTAATATCTTTGACTAAAACATTAATGTTCACACATGTATGTGATGCATCACATTCAAATAGATGCATTAAATGCATTTGTTTAAATGTGTAATGCTGCAAATAAACACAAGCACGCAGATTTCAAAGCGTAGGTAAATATAAACATATAAATAGACATAAAAATATGCATAGACGAAAATAAGAACGTTTCATTATATAAAAATGCTTTAAGAAAGACAGAACTAGTCTGTATATTTTATATTCATTTTATAATTTGTAGAATTTTCCACAGTTTGCCAAGCATACATTTCTTATGGAATACACATGCTGAATTTCATAGAAAACAGCAGTGAAGAATCACATGCTATTGTTAAAAGGTTGTTTTTTTTTTTCCTAAAGTAAATACAAATCTGAAGGTTCCATACACTTAGGGGGAAAAAAAAGAAAAACTAGCAATATTAGCCTCTGATTTTAGGAAGAATTCTAATTTGAGACAGTAATGAAATGCATTGCATTATAAGCTTGCATTTAGGTCCAATTTAGATGATATTTAAGTCTGTCTGTAGTTAGGATGGGCAACATAAGGTTGAGTACTTTGTTGAATTAGAGCTAAACATGAAATTAAATCAAAATGAGTATCAACTGCTTATTAATTCCTCAAACACTTCGGTGGCAGTTTGCACATGACTACCAGCAGGACATCAGGGCTTCATCAGTTCTTTTTACTTTCAGCTTATCTATGCCTCCTTTAAGGATATCTTGCCTCAATGAGACTTCAGTATTTGCTTCAGTAATGAGCATTTGCTTAAGGTAGTACAAACTGAGGCCTATCAAGGGAGTGTCAGTAGCACTTCTAAAAGCATATTTCTGCTGCAATTATTTAATAAATGCATTTGCAACATATCTGGAAAATACCTGCCATTTCATAGCTGAAGCAAAATGAAAATAATGTCTGCTTTAAGATAGATGGTAGGTTGGTTTCTCTGTGCCAGTAAATGTCAAAAGTTATTTCTTTAGTACATTACAACTCAAGAAAGGATCTTCACCAGATATGCCACTGAGTCTCTGCAAAATGACTGTGTTCCCTGTCTCTAACTCCCAATCTTTCCCCACCACACAACAGTTGACCATATATCTCCTAGTGAATACAGTCTCTTTATTCATTCTCCTTATCACTTTCACAAATAAACAGGGCGTAAATATATTTCAACACACATCATTTTAAAGTTGCTATTTATTTCTTCCTAAGCAATGACAAATACTTTGCAACAATATAAATCTGATTTATTTTATAGTTCTTAAGTTTTAAAAAATAAATTTATTTTTAAGATTTAAGGCATGTCATCTGATCTATTTTTTGTAACTCCATAAGCATCTTCGGATTCCTCTCAGAATCCATGTTTCAAATAAATCACCTCGTAGCTAACGTGGTTGCTTGTGACAGGTACATTAACTGAAATAAGTAGTTCTATGAACTATTAAATCCTATGCTAAGATTATTTTTCAGTCATCTGGTGATTCTCTTAGGCAGCATTTGCCTGAATTCATCTAGGAAGATCTGTGCCACTACCTATGAGGTCTGAAGAGGTGTTTTAAACACTTACGAAGTACAGCAGGATGAGCTGGCTTAGATGACGAGTAATTAGGTGAAGAGCACAAGGGTGAAGATTTCCAGTAGCTCTCTGTGGAATCTAGTTGGCATTATAATGCTCTTAGCATTAGAGATTTAGGAAAGATGCCTTAAAGATACCTTGCCTTCCACCCAAGCCAAGAGTGCCACTGCTGAACTTCAGACATTTGTAGTTTCTTTTGTCCTTTTTATTTAGATATGCACACAAAACAAAATAACCGCATTCTAAGTTGGTGACAGAACTTTCTGAAATCACGTTATCTTTTCCTACACATATTCCATCGTTTTAGTATTTAAATGGAATTGGATGCCAAATCAGAATTAGGACACCACTAAGCTTTTTACCTAATGCATGTTTAAAAATACTACAGCAAAATATGTGCCAAATAAATTAGCCAATAAGGACAAATTTCACTTAAAACTTGAAATTTGTCAAGCACCAAAAACTACAACTGCTCAATTTGGTCTACTTAAGTAATTTTAAAAGGTAAAACATTCTTAAAGCCTAGGAAATATGGGAATTCAAGTTTAAACACTAGGTCAAATATACAGATAATTTCTGCAGGTCCATGATTATTGTTCTATGATGTATACAGGGCATCAATTTGTAATCAGAGCTCCTAGGTAATACTAAGATGATTAGTAAACAATTAATTATAATGAGATATATGCAGTATTAATCATCACTTTTTAATAATCTTTTTTTTAATCATCATTTTTTAGAGAAATACAGTGTCAATATGTTTCATGGTGCTTCTTCCAGAACAAAATATACAGTATCAATTTGATATTTTCTAATAGGTATTTATAAGATCGTTTTCCTAAGTTATGAAGTCATATGCTGACCATGTTATTTGTTGACAAATGTGGACACAGTGAAGAACATGCATGTTGAATGTCACTGTTTTCACTGTATGCCTTTTAAATGCATTCTCAGTGATACACACTTGTGATGCAATCTTTTATTTCCAGAAATATTTTTCATTTCATGCAGCTTCCATAATTGGTAATTTGGAAAACTGAATTTTTTGACTTTACAGTACAGTTTCCAAAAGGTTTCAGCTGTTGGGTCCGTTCCAGTTTTTCACACACTTAGAATGGAAGTTGGAATCACATAAAGAACTTCCTGCCCCTGTCACTTACTTTAACATTCTTAGGACAAATAACATAGTGCATGTCAGCTTTGGCTTGCTCAGTAGATCACTATGAAAGAGAATAAGTGTTCCAGAAATTTGGCTAACAAAACACAGAACAGTAAACATTCCATCATCTACAGACTACTTATAATTAAAAGCCAAGTAACAGTGCTTTATCTAAGCCACTACAAATTATATAATAACCAAGGACTGAAAATTGTAGCAAAACTACGGGCAGTTGCTAATGAATGAGACAATTCCCATAAAACTGGAAAGTCAGATGTAGTGGAAATGCCATCATGGCTTGATGAGCATCTGGTAGGAAGGGAGGGCCAACCCAGGGGGGGCTCAGGTGTATGCAATGCACCTGAGTGACTAGAAGGATCTCTCTGGAAATCCCTGTGTACCTGATGCTTTTTAAAGGTAAGTAGCTTCTTTCCTTTATTTCTGTGCCTGCTGCTGTTGTATTTGAGCAAATCCTCACTTATTACAGTGTGGGATCTTGCTGCTCTGCTGTCATTGTTGCACTTTCCATCGTGTTACACTAGTCATACTGTGAGCAGTGTCTCTGCTTACTGCTCTCTACAGTTGTTATACTATGTATGGCAAATCCTGATCTCATTGAAGTCTGAGTATTCTTGTACTGTCCAGATTCCAATAAATCCATGCAAATAAATGCTATTAAACAATCTGTAAGAAATACTATTGCTAAAAATGAAACAAAAATATAGATCTTTTCTGACTGAAGTATTCTTTTCCACTTTCCATTCCAAAAGTAACTCCATAGCATAGACCCATGTAATTAACTTGACAGTGTATTTTGCAGGAAACTGGAAACTGTATACAGAACAGTGGAAAATAACTTCTGGTTGCTTACAAACTATGTCATAAGCATACATGATGTAGAATAAGCACTTCATAAGAAACATTTCACATATGTTATATGCTCTTCCAAATAAAATACAGCAGAGATAATGTTGGCAGGTTCAACAAAAATATTCATATTCAAGTCTTAATGCTAACTCTAAACTAGACCCTCTCCCAAACAAAAACCAAGTTCCAAAATTTTGGCTACAGTGGTTCTGGTTCTGCCATTATGATAAAACATAACAACAAACAAAAAATCAGAAACTAAACATGCACTGGAAAACTTTCAGATCATATGTAATGTGATTATGCACATCTTTTTTCAGCAGAATGTGAGCACCTGGTAAGAATTATACAAGCTCATGCATATAGTCAATACATAAATTTACAGCTGATATCACAACACCATGCACACAACAATGGCTAACCAGAGAATCCTACCACAAAGCGTGTAGATGCTCTTCCCTACCCCGTGAGCCACCGCTAGCTCTGGAGCTGTTGCTGTGGAGCCTGGTTACCCATTTTCATGACATGGGCGCTGTCCTTTGGAGAATCTTGCTCCTGTGGCTGTAAGTATTCCTATTTTTATAGTATTTGATCAGGTCTGTTATCAAATGTAAAGCAGAGTTTGGCAGGAAATTCCAAGACATAATTTGTAATAGTGGAATGTCAAATATTCCAGTCACAGTGTCCTTGTAATAATAGTTTGCCAACATCACAGTTGTAACAAGAAAAGCACTGATATCTATGAATTCTCCTGAAACTCAGGCCATGAATAATTCCTACCAGGCTATGGTGCTTCACAGGGAGAGAGGAACAGAAGGCATAGGAGATACCCTGAGCTTCTCATCTCTCAGCAGGCCTGATGCAGGCTGTTTGTACTGCTACTGTACAACATAACCATGATGAAGCCCTAAGAAGCATGTTAGTATAACAAATTTAAGACTTAATTTAGATATACTACAAGATAGCTTTAGTTTGCTTATCTTTGTTTTCTTGAAAAATACTGACGCTTTCATTCAATGCCTTTTGTGAAGGATCCAAATGCTTGACACCTATTGTAATTACTCTGTTAGGCAAGGCTGTTGCCAACTGAAACTTGATATATTCTTGAGATACATTTTTATTTGGAAAGCTTTACAGTTATTACTAAATTCATTAAAATCCTGCTGAAAATCAGTGCTAATCACTTAAGTGGCAGGTGCTAAGTTCTCAGCTCTACATAACAAAGTTCAAAGCACAGCTCTGTGAGAGAAATTATAGAATACTTATTTATGACTAATAGGAGTAATGGATTTCTTTATCAAACAAAATATGAGACAAAGCAAGAGTTTAAACAAAATCCCATTACTGCAATGATCTGTGCATGACTACTTTATTTATTTCACCCTGTAGCTTCAAGTTCTTGTTCTCTGCATCTTATCAGCAGTGCAAACTATTTGTTTCCTGAAAGTATATTTCTTCATGACTTTTTCTACTTCGGATTTGTTCAGCTGTTACTTCATTGTATACTTATAAACATACATAGGAAGTTAATGCTTATTATTGTTCAAAACTGTCTACCATCTTTTCCTAATAAACATGCAGCATGAGAAGTCTAGTTTTATGTACAGAATACTGTCTTGATCACTTTAGTATTAGCTTTTGCCTGGAAAAGACTTAATTACCTACTCTCAAACATGTTTCCTCTTTGAAAAGCGAGAGAGAGGCACAAGCTGTCTTTTCCTGTTAGTTAAGCAAATTAATAAATTGAAACCTATTAGGTATTTTTAGAAAATAAATATGGTGTTACATACTACAAAGAAGATTCTCTTAACAAAGAACAAAAATGCACAGAAATAAAATCAAACTGATAGTAGTTCAGCAATACATCTTTTTCACTGTTCTCCTTGACCACAGAAGTATTTAAAAATGCCTTACAAGAAACCACAATTGTCACAAAAGTAATTGCTTTACTTTATACATTCTCTTATATATATAAGTCAGGTAAAGTGGGAGCAAACCCATACTCTGAAACAGCATTTGACTGCATTTGTAAGCACTTTTTTTTTTTTTTTTTTTTTTTTTTTTTTTTGATACCCCACTTCTTCAGTTAGGAATCTCCCTCTTGTTCTCAAGTCAACACATGGTAAGGAATTTCTGGCATCTGTAGGTCAGACTGCTATACCAAGCATTTAAGAGGCAAGCTGTGTAAATGATGCGCACAGGTACCATAGCCAAAAAAAAAAAGAAAATCAGGATAGGGCTATAACTTAGTATTAACCATTCCTATAGAAGAAGAAATGCTAAAGCTTGGCTCCTAATATATCTAGGACTATATAATAGCAGCTACAAATATTTTAATATGTTTGTTACTGTCAGCAATAGTTCACTTACCTCATCAGGGTTGGCATTAAAGGTGAGGCTGCCCTCATCTAGTTGCATATACAGTTTTCTAAAAGAAAATCCTAGAGGTGGATTCTTATTGTATATAGAACAGTGACCCCAAGTGGATTTGCACAACCTATGAAAATAGAATTAGTCTATTATCAAAAACCTTTTATGTATTTACAGACGCAAAACATAATTAACACTGCAAAGCCAAGTACTCAAACAATAAGGAAACTTGAAAATAAGATTGATTGTAACACTTAATTCTTAACTTTTCTGTATGTTTGTTTCTAAAGTCTTCAACTAATGACACTTTTTTTGTTGTTGTTGTAGGTTTTGTCATATACTAGTGCAACCTCAAAATGTATTCCAGTAGGTGGCATTGTAATGACATCTACACAGTTGGAGCCTCTAACACTCCTAGTATCTGAACAGTAGGTAACAAGTGACAAATAATTCTCTTGCAGTAGTATCAGATTAAAAATCTGTGTTTCTTTTCTCGTGCTCTAGTTGTGTAGTGAGTGGAATGTCACATCTGCACCAGAATACGCAACCTGCTACTTTCTATCCATCCTTTTCTCAGTCTTGATGACTCTGGGTTACCTGATTAAACCCCATGCCTGCATAAATATTTTATCAATATTTTTCATCAGTTCCAAGGTTGTTTCTTCTATCCTGCCTCTGACTCCATGTTTCATCAGTTTCTGTTCCTCGTCTCAGCTTCCTTGTTGATGCCGTCTAAACTCCCCTTGAACTTTCACTTCCTAGGCACCTTGTTTCTTATCTAAGTTCCTTATTTCAGTTCTACTTCTGCTTTAACATATTTGTTAAAAAAAAAAACAAAAAAACAAAAAAACAAAACAAAAAACAAACAAAAAAAAACAACAAAAAAAAACTGGCCACAGTGGTTAGAATTCTTCAGATGGCTGAGGTAGAACACGAAAGAAACTTGGTTTTCCTCTCAGCATCTTGGGTCTTATTTGAACTGAGTTCTGAAACACAACTGTAGAACTTGCTGAATTCTAAACTCAATATATGTGGATTACTAAAAATTAAGATGTTAGCAGACATCTATGTGAATTGAGACTTTTAAAAAAATTGCGCTAAACCAGGACAAACTTTCACAAACAAATATATGCTTCAACTGAATATTAAGGAAGATTTCACTAAAAATGATTGAGCTGTTTCCCAAGGTGAATTCTGAGGGAAATATGCTTTTTTTTTTTTTACCCTTATGTTAAGCATATATATTGTTTAATTAAGAACATAATATACTTGTGCTTTAGAACAAAAAATTTATTTGTATTTTGCACAGTTTTGATACCAAGGATCAAGAACAATAGGATAACAAACTGCAAAGTTATTTTATGCACATAATCTTGTAAGCTCAAATAAACCTTCACTAGAGCCACTACTTCTTGCCAAGATAACAGTCCTGAATGAAAGAACAGCTGTGACTAAGAAGTTATAATTGCATCCTCTTGATGAAGTTCATGAAGTGAATTGAGGAGAAGCTGCTTCAAATGCAGAGAAGTAAACAGACTGAGAGAAGGAAAGACTTAGAACACAATAAAAGGAAAATAAACAGGACCTGGAACAGCAACCCACTTGTTACATTAATACTACTCACTGTCAGTTAAATTAAAGGATAAGGCTGTTTTGTGTAAGACAAATTCTACCGACAACCTACTCTAAAGATAGGTGTGCTTTCGTAGGATTCTTTCCTAGTGCTCTAAAACACGAAAATGGAAGGTGGTGTTTTTAATTAAAATTTCATCTTGCACAATTTTATTTGATAGAATTTTCCTTTATTTCTTGGGCATACAAACAGACAGAATTGCCTCTGCATGTTGCATAAATTTTTCAGTAGAAATTTTATGGTGTGCTTGCAGAACTGGCCTTTTCTTTCCCCCTCCCTTCTGTTGCTGTCTTCCAAAAAACAAGGGCATATATTGCTCTAACTCAACTAAAGTAGATGTGTTCTTATTCCTTTTTACCTAGAGCTTCAGCTGAACAGATTTACTTGCTCAAGCCGGGTATTTGTGTTATTTCTCTGAACTTCAAACATTTCAGCTGTGCTTTGATTTAAAACAAAAGTGAATGAGTCCTTGATTTTTTTTCACCAAACAACAGGTTTGTTAGTAATACATGCATGTGCTTATACCAGCACACTTGTGTATACAGAAACCTATTCCACTATCTTAGTAGTAATTAGAAATCCATAATTACACATTTTTAAACTGTGTCCATTTTCTCCCCTATGCCAAATCTCATTTAACTTAGAAAACCTTTGCTAAAATTGGAATAATACAAAGCACAATTTGAGACAATTATTTTTACTACTCCCAGGTGATGCATTTGTTTTTGCTTACCCTTGCCAGAGGAGCTCATCATTAGCGAGATCCTGCCAGACACACGAAGCTAGACAGAGATCAGTTGCATTCAGATATGACAAAATGGTAAAACTAAGCTCTGGTGGCAGCATTTCCAAGTTAATGAATCCTTCTTGTTCTTTAGATTTTCTTGTCTTCAGCAGGTGGTAGATGTCAATACCTCCTTGGGCTTGTTTCCGGTGGCTTGTATTGGAGACATTGTTAGTGGCTATTCTCCTACCATGCTCTCTGGTAAGATAGCCTTGTCCACTGAATCCTTGGTGTTGCAGTTGCTGATTCCTAGCAACCCTCCAGAGTCCCTGACCCATCTGTGAGCCTGCTGGACATAAAAAGCCAAATTGAATGTTGTCATACTCGCATTTCCTTTAACATTTAATTAAATTAGTTTATTTAAAAACAATGAAGTGCTACAAAATAAAAGGACAGACAAAATCATCCAGAGAAATGGGGAACACACAGAAGCACGCTGTGACTGACATAAGGAAAACATTTAGGAACTTAAATATATTGCAGCTAGAAGCCATTCCCAACTTCAGTGTATTTTCTCCTTCTTGCTTCTGAGCACCCAAAACACTTCCTTAAACATTTTTTTTCAAAGTCATAAAGGTTAGGAGTTTGTGTACGTGTACTGAAGCCAGCACTCCAGCTTAAGCTATATCAGTTCTGTTGCTTGTTCTAGAAACACAATGTAGCAGTACATCTGAAACACAGTATCACTCTTTAAGTAAAGATCAATCCTGCTCGGTACATGAAGAGGCACTAAGGCCCTGAGAGAGGAGGCATTGCTACATTACTACTGCATTTCTTATGCAGTACTGGTCTGGACGTGTAAAGACTACTTTCAGACGCTTAGGATTACAAAAGACCAATAAGAATCCACCAGGTGGTTGGTAGATCACATGTGTAGTAAGCAAAAAAGTTAATAGCCTCTTGAACTCTTGAGAACTGTAAGCAACACAGCCACCTTGTTTAACTCTTAATCTCTATGACGAAGAATAAAGCAGTGAAGGAACACGGAGGCTGAAAACACTGACATTAAATTCACGGTACAAAAAAGACAGGGATCTCTCGGAAAGAGTCCAGAGGGGGGCCACAAAGATGGTGAAGGGCCTGGAGCATCTCTCCTATGGGGAAAGGCTGAGTGAAGTGGGTCTGTTCAGCCTTGAGAAAAGAAGACTGAGAGGAGACCTGATCCAGGTCTATAAATATCTAAGGTGTGGGGGGCAGAATGGCGAGGCCGGACTCTTTTCAGTGGTGAGTGGAGACAGGACAAGGGGAAACGGCTGGAAACTGCAGCATAGGAAGTTCTGCACAAATGTGCGCAAGAACTTCTTTACAGTGAGGTGACGGAGCACTGGAACAGGCTGCCCAGGGAGGTGGTGGAGTCTCCTTCTCTGGAGATGTTCAGGACCTGCCTGGATGCCTACCTGTGTGACCTGCTGTAGGGAACCTGCTTTGGCAGGGGGGTTGGACTCGATGATCTCTGGAGGTCCCTTCCCACCCCTACAGTTCTGTGACTCTTTGATTCTGTAACTTTTATCAGTCAGACTAAGGAACACATTTTGCTAATATTTTTGCTATCTGTTCTGACATTAGTTTATATAATTTTAACAGAGCTATATTTCCACATACATTTGTTAACTGATTAAAAAATGAGTCTTTCAAAAATGCTATTTGGACATACTTTAAGGCAACAACAACAACAAAAAAAGACAACAACAAAAACAACAACAATATAATAGGTAATTTTGAAGGCTCTAAAGAACATAAGATCATACTGCTACAAATTTCATAACACACCAGGATGGCAACACAGAGAGAACAACAGCATTATCAGAAACAGATCATCAAAAGGCTGCACCCAGGGAATTATCAAGTGAACTTTATTCCATTAGGTAAGGATCTGGCAATTTTATAATAGCTTTCAAGCTTCTTCAGTCAGATTATCTTTCTGTTCTGAAGGCCACGCTTATAAACGGGGTCATAGTTGCAAAGGACCAAGTTTTCCTAGCCCTAAATCAAATATCCAAATTTCATTTGCTACCTTAATGTTTTTATTGCAATACCTAGCTAGTAGTTCCTGTTTACAAACTACATTCTGTTGAGCAATACCGAGCTAACAAGAATACCAGTGTTTGTTGCTGGTGCTCACAGGGTTCATCTTGCCACAGAATGCTAATTGTGACACATCATTTACAGCCCAGTCACTAATAGATTACTTAATGTTATGGTTCCAGGACAAAAAAAAAAAAAAAAAAGAACAACCAAAAAACCAACAGTGCTATGGTATCCAAGAAATTAGACTTCTTACAGAGTTCTCACATACTTTTGCAGAAAGTATCAGTAGAGAAATCTCTTAGAAAGACTTCTTAAAATAAAACATTGATTTTAAATGCATATTTCTATTTTAAGCACCAACTGAATGTGTTTTGGGGTTCACAAAAAGCAAGACTCGATTCAAGCCGACTGCTGGGAACATAGTGTGTGGCTGCTCAGCAGCAGACGTGCTGTTTGTAGAGCCAACCTTCTTTTCCCTGTCAAGCAAATGCTTTCAGCTTTGCCGTAATCCAGGATAACACTTTGAGATCTCACTCACAGAACAGAGAGAGTCAGTGCATCACGTTTTCACTCAGAGGGGGTGACACACTGGAACAGGTTGCCTAAGGAGGTTGTGAATGCCCCATCTCTGGACCCATTCAAGGCCAGGCTGGATGTGGCTCTGGGCAGCCTGTCTGGCAACCGTGCACATAGCAGGGGGGTTGAAACTGATCACTGTGGTTCTTTTCAACACAGGCCAGTCTATCATCATATGGAAAGTAAGGGTGTCCAAAAATATAATTTTGTAATATTGTGAGCATCCATTTTCAGGCCCAAGATTCAGGAAGCCACTCAAACGTATGTTTCCAAACTTGTGACTGATGTAACTTCAGCCAGTACCCGCAACCTTCCAATGGCTTGGCTGTCACAACTCTCACAGGAAGAAGTGACACTAAGCTTTTTTGCTGACTGCTTATCTCCCCTGGCACTGCCTGGCCTATCCCAGAACCAGGTCTGCTTCTTGTTGCTGTGTTCCAGAATAAATCCTTTTTGCAGTGGAGCCCACGACAGAAAACTACAAGCTAAATGCCATCTCTGTTAGGACAAAGATGCAGTGGCTCTGGTAGCCCCGTCACCAACAAAGCACACGTGGATGCTCCACGCGAGGCCTTTCCATTGCACGGAGCCCTGCGGTGCAGGGGAGTCCATCTCCGCGTCTCGAGCTTCTTTCCCCACAGCCGCCCTCCGCTCGGCGGCCTGCGGGCGCCCTGGCTGTGAGCGGCACAGCTGCCCCCAGGCAACGAGCACGCTCGCTCCACAGGCCGCACCGGCCCCTCTCACGGCAGGACAGTCCCCGAGCCGGTCCGCGCCGAGGGAGGCGGCGACCCCGGCCCCTCGCAACACCACCGGGTGGTACTGCCCCCGAGTGCCATTGGCCCGCACCGGCCAGGCCCGGCCTCTGATTGGCCGCGTAGCCCGTCCATCATCCCCCGGCCGCTTGCTCGCCGACGGAGCCCAGCCACGGGAGCCCTTCCGTACCTGTGCGAGCTCGGGTCCAACCGCCGCCGCGACGAGCTCGTTGCGGGTCGGTGCGTGAGCCTCACCGGACAGAGAGGGGCTAGGCGGCCCTAGCGGTGGGAAGAGGCGGTGAGACCCCTCTGGCGCGCAGGGAGCCGCCGCCGCCGCGCCTCCTGCCAGGCGGGTTTGACGTTCGCTGTTGTTGCTGGAAGTGGCGTCACCGGGGAGGGACGCGCTGGAAGCGGAAGCGGCCGTTGTGCCGCGCGGCGGCAGATTCGGGTGTCTGGAGCAGGCGAGCGGCTCCGGCCGCGGAAAGCGTCGGGGGTGAGTGCCGGCCCCTGTGTAGGGCTTTCCTAGCCCAGAGCAGGTGGACGCTTCTGGCCAACTTGGTGTCATCTGCAAACTTACTAAGGGTGCACTCAGTGCCCTCATCCCAGTCACCGATAAGGGTATTAGATGGGACAGGCCCCGATACAGTCCCTGGGGAACGCCACTCCAGACTGAATGCCAGCTGGATTTAATCCCATTCACCAACACTCTCTGGGCCTAAACCTCCAGCCAGGCCTTAACACAGCAAAATCTACAGTTTACAGTTGTGGCAGTTGATCAGAAGCAGATCTCAAGGATGTGAGAAATGCCCTGAAGAAACATTATTTCCATAACTCTAAATATTGTGTCTAACACGTTTTTGTTGGTACTCTTGTTTGTTTGTTTTTTTTTCACCCTTTCAAGTGTTTCAAAGTTGCTGAGCTGGGCAGTTTGCTAATAGACTTTCTCAGAGTCTAGTTAGGATGTAGGTTGTTTGTTGTGAATTGTAATTTGGGGGCTGGGCTGTTATCGAGTCTATGCTTTTAAAGTTCTGTGTTGGAGAAGACCTGACACCATTTGCTTACAAACACGTGCTTGCAAGGTATACTAAACAGTGCTCATAGAGTGTCTGTGAATATGATGTATTTTTGAAGGAGTATCAGCTTTATGCTTTTCTTTTCACTTAGTTCTCCAATGACCTTTTTTTTTTTTTTTTTTTTTTAAACTTAGTCTTCTCCTCCACTTGGGAATTTATTAATCAATTTGACCAGAAAATAACACTAAAAGTAAAAGTTTCCTGTGCTTCTTTATGCCTCTGACAAAGCTGATTTGGATGTTGATGATGAAATGCATTATTGATTTTTTTTTCTGTTGCCTTTTCTTCTTTTTTTCTTTCTTGCAGGATAGCTCTGCAAAGAAAGGGGCACCATTTTGTAGTTTACATTATGTCACTAAATGAGTCTCCTGTGAATGATCAATTAAAAAGCAGATTTTTGACTTGTGTGTTATGATGCAGAGGTTAAAACTGGACCTTTTGGCTATAGTGCCAATAAACTTAGACCTACCTTAAAGTACATAGGCTGCCTAGTTTGTTGCACCAGTTCTGCTTGAACAATTTCAACTGGATTTAGTGGATTGTTTAATGGAGAAGCATCGTCTCCTTTGAAATATCAAACAAGCTTATTCAATCCTTTCTGTTTGGTTTAGCAGCCCTAAATTCTTTATTTGCATTCACATCCCTATCTTTAAAGATCTTTGATAGTTGATGGGATTAGGCATTTCTACTAAGTCCTGATATGGATGGTATGAGAGAAATAACTGCTATTAATTAGTATTGAGCCCTAACTTTTTGCTGTTTTGTAACATCAGAAATAGTCGCCTCTAGAAAAATTTCAGTGATAATGATATATATTGTAATTTTAATGTGCCTTTTTTTTTTTTTTTTGACAGTATTATAATATAATTACCTCGTAATCTGAAAGAGCAGTGTTTGGAAGAATGACAACAGGAGACCTAAAAGGAAGTTTAAGAAAAATAGAACAAGGACTTCGCATGTTAAATTATCCAAGAGATGTGGATTATACAGTGTAAGAAAAAGTGTTAATAAATTTATGCTAATACAGGATGACAGCAAGATACTGGCTTTGCATCCAGTGATGAGTAAGCAGAGAGGGTATGACTGTGTGAAGTTGGGATTTGATACACATGGAATGGAAAGTGAAATAATGCAGTTTTGCTAGTCTGAGCAGTTCCCCCCCCCTTGTTTAATCTCTCTTTGTTTCTTTTTGTGAGTGCTGACTTTCATCTTGTAAAGATGGTAGAACAAGATGTTTAACAGTGAGCTTTTGGGCTTCAGACCTGACCGTGTTGGGATTATGTGGGGAGGTCACAAAAAGCATTGTTTCAGGCATTTTACAGATGACAGTAAAGACTGCTGAATGAGATATGCATGGAAAGGTTCTTGCAATCAAGGGAACCAGAGAAAAAACTTGAAAATGAAGGGGTAACAATATAATTAAGGTGTAACATGCTTGCTATATCGAGTATATGTAATTTGAGTGTAACACGTATGCTATATTAACGTTTCAAGTTAAATGTTTGCAATTGTGCAAAGTCTTTTATTCCCTTTTGCTATGTTAAGTACTTTTGTTTCTCAATAGGTTAGTGAAGGGTGATCCAGCTGCATTTTTACCCATAATTAGCTATTCCTTTACATCGTTCTCAACTTACGTAGCAGAACTTCTGGTGAAATGTGATGTGGAACTTACAGCAAAGAGTGACTTGCGCTTTATTGAAGCTATTTATAAGGTATCTGTCTTCATGCTCTTTAAAAAAGAGGCACAATTTTGTGTATGACCTCATAAAAATACCTAATGAGAGAGAACATTTTTGGCTGTGAATAAGAACTGTAATTTGGTTAACATTTAGCATCAGTAGTAACTAAGGATGTGCAAAGTATTTGGCTTCCTTGTTTTCAGGAAAATCTAAAGGAATTTCAATTTTTAGAACAGTCACAGAGTCAGTAATGTATTTGCATTACATATTAGGAGTGAGGAGTGCTGAAATATTTGTTGAATGAGTTATGCAGTCAGAAGTAGACACAGAGAAATCATAACCAGCAGAAGAAAAAGTCAAAGTAACTTTCAATAATTATGATGGAAAAACAACTAATAAATTAGTTTGACATGATATTTTAAAATAATTTTGTGTTTAAAAGTTTATAAATTAGAATCAAATCAAGTGCTTTGAGCTGAATAAGTGCAGAATAAAAGAGAGAATGCAGAAGAATAAGAACCTGAGGGTGTTATTTCTACAATAGGTTTTTTAAAATGATTTTCAAAGCAAACTTTTTTTTTTTCCAGCTTCTCCGAGATCAATTTCACTATAAACCAATCCTAACAAAAGAGCAGTTTCTTCAGTTTGGTTTTGCAGAAAGAAAAATGCAGATTGTTTGTGACATTATCAACTGCGTGGTGAAAAAACATAAGGAATTAAGTAACCTGAATAAGGTACTCATCAAATAGTAACTTCATTGTGAGGGATGCTATTTTTGATGTAGTTTTGGTCCTTCAGGTAGAAGGTGAAGATCAGATTATTTTTGTCAAAATAGGGGGAAAATTAGTATAAATTTTCTTTCGGAGATTCTTGAATGCTGTTGAGTATATATGTGACATGAGCTGCCAGTGTGCTGTCATATAAACAAAATAAAATTACTGAAACAAAGATCAGTTAAATACTTGCTATCTTTATGGGTAAGTGGACTTTTCTGGTTCTTAACGCAGTGAGTGTTTATGTAACTCAGACATTACAGGTAGATATAAAAACAAAATCCTCTGCAATATTAAAGTTCTGGTAACATTTAATTTAAATATGATAAATAATACAAAGTTGTATTTGTGTTTTGTTAGTATACATCTTAAGTCTGATTATTTTTATTAATCACATTTGATGGTACTTTAATAAAAGATTGCCTTCATATTATATTTCAGTTGAGTCTAAAAAATCTTGAGAACTTCTCTTTGCTTTATTTCTAATTGCACATCTGAAAGTGACATACTTTCATCCTCTTTGACATTCAACCTTGCAAGTTCAGTATTTGTGATCAATTTTCATGCAACGCTGTGTAGGTGTTAAGAATATGTATGTGGTATTCACTTTGAGATCTGTTTTCTCTGTTAATTTGGGATATAATTTAAATACATATTTATACATACATACTGCATTTCAGAGATCTAAATGCCGTTGCGTGTGTGTTATGCAATTTTCTGGCTTGCCAACAGTGGTTAGATGTAGTGTCTTCCTTTCCCTCCCAGAAAAATGTATTAGAATGAGGTTTTTTTTCCTCGTTATTCTGAAGGTTAAATCCCAAGCAAGAAAGAAATTCAGACCTTCAAAACGTGAAATATGGTCAAATTGTGGTGATATTCTTGTTGATCTCAGTGGCAGCACTCTGAATTCCAAACAGGTATGAAATAGTTTTTATGTTGTGTGTCTAGAAGTTAGTCTCACTTGTAGCAAATCAGGCTCTTCCTGGAATATGTGCTTTTGTGTAGGTTTTAACATTTGATCATGCTTGATATGTTTTTCAAAATGCGGTTGATGGAAATAATGGCTGCTACAGAAACTATTACTTCTTTTTTACTGAGTAGTTGATTGAGTCTTGGTGGTAATGATCTAGTACTGTTATCTGTTGAATTATACAAAAGAAAAATGAGGGGCAGTAATCAAAATGAAGATATAATTGGAAAAATATTATATTTTTTGAGATGGAATTGTATCTGACCTGACATTATGCTGTTTTGAAAGCTACATTTAAAATACTTCTTGGTTTTTTTGCTGGAATCTGTTCAGCAAAGATTTGTTAATGTATCATTCATTTTGGCTTCAGTTCCTGAGCGTAATATTTGAGCTGATACATTATGTTTATCTTGTGCTGTGGAGGAAACAGTATTCCTGGTTAAAGTAAAATCCTGCAAAAATTTCTTTAGGACTGAGCTCAATAAAGGTACATGATTTCTATTTAGAATGAAAATATTGCCCTTAGCAGTGAGGAAGACTTCACAAAGAAAGCACTTGAAATCACTGTTCATCACCCATGAACTGCCAGATTAGTGGAATTAAATGGGAATGTATGTGAGTGTATTAAGAATTCTCTTGAAGAGAAGAATTTCAGTGTCCCTTTAAAACACGTAATGTCTTAACGCTTGCAGGTTACTACTACACAAAACTACTAATTGTGGGTTCTTAATCATTAGACAACATATTTTGCTTTGTGAGATGTAGTGATGATAAGACTTGCTCCATCTGCCAAGAAGGGTATAAACTGTCTTTTGTTCTCTCTGAGGGAAATATTCAAAGAAAGGGGAAATGTTGGTAACATGAAGTACTTTAGAAGTAGTGAAGGAAAATAGATTTCCAAATTTCCCCATTAAGCTCATTTTTTTTCTGAAAGGTTGAGCGGTAACTTCGTTGTTGGATCGATCCATGTGTATGTTATCACATAGGAAACTAGAGAGTTCTAATCCACAATTTCAAACTTCACAACCCTAGACAATGTGTTTTTTTTTTTGTTTTTTTTTTGTTTTTTTTTTAATAGCAGGAAAGGCCATTGATGGTTTCAGCACTGTGTATAGATGGGAACCAGTATACTCAGTAAACATAGTAATTTGTGTGCATATTTGTTTTACAGTTCTTCCATGTCTATATGGCTTACTTTTTTAATTGAACTGCTTTTTGTGGGTTTCTGTGTTTTGCAGCCAGTTGTGGTAAAACTTTTTTATTTTAGTTTAACAGTTAAATGCTAGAATGATAGATGTTTTGTGTCAGTTATCTCCCTGATGCATGTGAATATTTTTATACTGAGAAATATCATGGGTTTTTATTTATTTGTTTTTATTTTCAAGCATGCTCAAAAGGTGCCTCTTGTAGAACGACACTCAGGAGATGAAGTTAGGGATGACCTTCCTCTTGCACCTATTAATCCAACACCCCTTAATCCACCATCACTTCCAGAAGAGGGAAATAATGAAGAAGAGTTGTACTTAGATGATGATGTTGTGGAAGAACAAGTAAGAATATTTAAGCTTTCCACATGCATTCCTAACTTTTTTTTTTTTTTTTCTCCACAGGACCTTTCTTAAGGGAAGAGATTTTAGAATAATAGTTGGATTCTCTTTAAATGTAACTAGTAGATATGTATATTCAGTGGTTAAAAATGTCAAATTGTGTTGACCTTTCAAGTGCCAGGTCTACTAACAGTTTCTGTAAAAGCTTGGTTCAATGAATAATTAGTTTATAGCAATTCTGAAATATAATTCTCTAATGTAGCATAATGTGCTTACTTAAATTGAGGAAAATTGCATTTAATTTTGTTGATCAAAGGATGAATTATATCTATGCCATAATTAGAAAATGTGTTTTTATCCATGTTTTCAGGTCATAGAGGACAATTCTCAGATGGAGTTCCTAAGGAGTCAACTTGCTGATTGCCAGGAAAAGCTTCATAAGCTGGACTGGATGGAAGATAAATTACGTGTTTTGGAAGAGAAACTGAAAGGGAAGGTGATTATAGATGAGAAGGACTGGAATAATTTGTTGAGCAGAGTTTTGCTTCTTGAAACAGAACTGTTGCTGCAGTCCAAAAAGGTATCACACACATCAATTTTATTGCTATAGTAAAATCAGATATCAGTATAATATCTGTAGTGTTTCAGTTTAGTGTTGTTTTTGTTTAGAACAATTTTTTTAGTGTTTCCCAGTTATTACTAGGTGACAGGACTGTTGCCAAACACAGTGCACTCAGCTTGCTTCTGTTTTTCCTACATCTTGATGTATGTCTTTCACTATTCTTAATGGAAGAGTCCGAATGCCAGTGTTGTTTGAGGATTTTTTTTTTCAACGTAATTGCTACGTTCTGTTGCTTCCTGATATTCTGTAGCAAACTTCTCCTTTGGAAACTTTCCAGCAGGTGTAGCTCAGTATATTTTCGAAAGTAATGACTGTGTGATTTTATATGACAGTGAGCTCATTGAGATAACTTCCACAGACTTAAAATTGTGCTGTCTTTGAAAGCTTACCATATGTGAAGTGGAGAATTTCCTTGTGATGGGGGCACATTTAAGGCTCCTTTGCCCATGCAATTTTGGATTTCTCATTCTGGGCTGCAAATGTTTCAGTAGTCTGGAGTGTGGTACTTTTGCCACTGATACAGCCAAACTTCCTTTTTAGTTGTCCAGACTGATCTTTAATCAGATGCTTTTGTTCCCTTTGTGAGATATAATGAAGTCTTAATCTTTCAGTAATTATATATGTGGCATTTACAATGGAAAATAGAGGATTAATGGAGAAGTTGATTCTTACTTCAATCGTGCACTTACTTTATGATTATCTTTTAAATATCTAGTCTAATTGATGGCTCTTCTCATTTTTGCTTTCTCTTTCCTGCCTTGCCTGTGGTATTCATTGTATTTTTAAAAGTATGAAGGTATTACAATTGTGATGTGGCTGTATTTCAAGTATTATCAATTATTTATCAATAATTAAAAGCTTGTCAAGTATTTATTTTCATGCTGTTCAAAAATCTTTGCTAAGTAAACGCTATTTTATTTCATATATGACTGCATGTTTGTATTCTAAGATAGAGTAAATCATAACATCAGTTTTGTGATCATATGCTTAATTTCAAAATGTGTTTGCACATGTATCCAAAGGATGCTGTCAGATTCTTTCAGAAGTTGGAAAACCTATTGAAAGGTGTGGGGTTTTTGTTTTTTCTTCCCTGTAGTTGTAAGAATGTTGAATTGTGTCGTAACCTGGAGCTTAGAACGTTTTTCTTGCCTGAAAATTTGAAGATATCACTAGTACTCATACAGAATAGTTTTTTAAAATTGCTTTTCTTGAAAGTTTGCTAGTTATGCTGAGCTTAGAAATGGGCAAATTTTCAGGCTGACCATGGGATTCTTTGAGCTACATCCTTCAAAAATAATGATGATTGACATAAATCTTTTTTTTTTAATAAGTCTCAGGTCAGGAATGGCTTAAAGGATTTACCATTTGAAATCAATTTCTTGTGCATAAATGTTGTAATTTAATTATCAGCAGACGTATGTTCAAGTGAGTCAGCCAGTATTATGTTTTTTCTCCTCTGGTCAGTTTCAAGGGCCCTTCAGCTACACTGCCAAGCAGATTTGAGTCTTTTTCAAATGTATTGTCAAGAGGTGATTACTACATGCGTGGTGCAGAATGGCTTATAATTAAAATGAAGCCTTTTTAAAAAAAATTCCATCTATGTTTGGTTTATTATTACTTTGGTAACATTTATTGAAGTAGTTCAGAGGTCTGGAATAGTATGGAATATTCACTGTGAATATACTTGACACTGGTGTCATTCAAAAATTTACTGGAAATGAGTTTATTTCTGCAGTACCTGTTACTGTTAGTAGTTGTCGCAGAAAGAAGTTTGAATTTAGTTTGTGCCTGGCATTGTTAGCACATCTTTCAAAGCAAAAGAAGCTGGGTTTTAAAAAGAGTCTTTAAAAGTTTTTTTTTTTTTTTTAATTTATTATTATTATTATTATTTTGCAATAGACTTCTGAAAACTGCAAGGAAATAATTGTTTTGGCCAGGGAATTGCTGCTGGTTTGTTTTTTTTCCATCCGGGTTGCTCTTCATACATACAGAAGCAACTTAGAGTTACTCCTTTCTTCAGGATTCTTCAGGGGATGTCTGGCGTGTAGCCAGCATAGCAGGAGCACTGGTTTGCAGTGCTGCCACAAAGTAGCAGCAGTGCGTTTAGCTCAAGGAAAATCTGAGAGACTACCAAGACTACCAAATCCCTCTCAATGAGACAAGTTGGGCAATAGCACTCAGTGCAGTTATCTTCTCCCCCCCCCCCCACCTCCTTTCTCTTAGAGAAACACACATAAATGCAGTCTTTCTTAGCTTTTTCACTCACAGCACCTACTATTTCTCCCTTATCTACTTACTTGGATGTAATCCCCTCTTAAGTGATACAGTTACATATTCCAGTATATGAATTACTGTACTTTACTGAAGGGTAAGATTTCAAACATAATAACAGTTTGTTGGTTAATAAAGGCTGGATATTGCTCAAGGCTTTCTTTTTTTTTTTTTTTTTTTTTTTTTTTTTTTTTTTTTTTTTAAAATTTGTATAAGTGAAAGTAAAAAATTTGTTTGTGGAAAGAGATTTTTTTTTTTTTTGTTTATAAAAGGTGTTTTTAAGGTT